ACATCACCTGGTTCTTCCGGACAGACACCAGTTTATGTATGCCCTGCTTCCCTAATTGGATTGACCTGTGAAGCCATAGCTGTGCGATCTCTAGTTCTGACGCCTGCATCCGTGGTTCAAATTCAGAGATGAATTTTTTTTCCACCTCCATGCGTCAAATGTACCTTCCCGGGGAATTTCCCATCTGGTACCCTTCGACCATTTATTCCATCTTTTGAGGGGTTCTGTAGACTTCCCCCCCAAACTCACCTTCATCAGTTGTGCAGCTGTCCTTCACCCTGAAGAGGGCTGGTTCCCCCTCTCTCTTCATGGACTGACTACTGCCCATCGTGACTAGTCACTGGTATATATCCCGCGTCCGGGTACCTGTTTACCCCCTGGAGCACTCGGTGGGATCCTACCGAGAGGCCTGATTCCACCACTTTCCCAGCACAGCGTAATTTATGTGATTCTTATCGATCACCCGAAGCGCATCAAGTGGCGGTCAGACTGAGAGCACACCTCCCACTCCCACAGCGCAATTTATGTGATCCTGACCACCCGAAGTGTTTGTGGTAACCAGGCTAAGCGTTACACTTCCCTGGACCGCCCACTCGCACAGCGCAATTTATGTGGTTCTCATCACCCACTGTGTTTGGCAGGCCACACCGCACAATGATGAAAGTGGCTTTTCTCTCCCTGCACACAGTAGCTAACACAAGTCAAAACAAAAGGAGGGGTTCTTTGATGTTACTTAGGGGTCACTGGTTGCCCGGAAACCTGCTAACTGACCTTTAGGAAAATTGTGTAAAGAAAAAAACTTTCCTAATACACACAGAAAAAAAAACCCCTTTTCAACTTGAAAAAAACGTTAAAAAAGGACAAAGTGGAGCCTTATGAAAAACACGGGACGTTTCGCAGTAAAAAAATTACACAGAGGTAAACCGAAAAACTGCGCCAAAATAACCCCGGTTGCTGACGCGAAAATCGCTCCTACCAGCGCCGCTAAACGATCCGCGCTACACACGCGATCTTTGCTGCAACCGCCTAAAAAAAAACAAACCCGCTTTACAAAAAAAGTCTACTTTTAACAAGAAAAACACAATCACTAACAAGAAATCTATGCGTAAAAACCCAAACTTCACCGCTTTACTAAAAGTGAAAAACTTTTAACACAACAAAAAATTGTCTGGCAATAAAAACGCAAATTTAAAGCTAAAAATGTGGAACAACTTGAAAAAGCTTTTTATGTGCTTAAAAACGTACCTAGAGCTAGATGTGCTGCCCTCGTGGGTAACCCCCCCCCTTGAAACCTAAAGGAAAAACAACTGGAATAAAATGCAAAAATGTAAAAATTGGATTAAAAACACAATGTGGGTCAAATGCATATAGAAAACTGCATATACATTGCATAAAGATTACTGAAACTCAAAGCGAAACTCACAAAACAGCGTTCCCGAGTGATCAAAAACAAAATGGCAGAGAAACGCATGGCAGTCACAAAATGGCACCACCAAACAAAGAGACATGTGGAGCAGTCAACAAAATGGCCACCAACAGAGAAGCACATGTGGTAGTCAACAAAATGGCCACCAACAGAGAAAGCACATGGTAGTCAACAAAATGGCCACCACCAAGAAAGCACATGCAGCAGACACTAGCCTCAAAATTGCCTCTAACCTCTTACATAAAACAGACTTTTGGACAAAACATACACTGGACAATTACACAACAATATACAGTACACATACAACACAATTTGGCACAATCACAGAACGGACATGGAAAAACCAACATATCACACTAACATGCGCATGTAACAGAAAAGACCCACTGCTGCATGCTTGCTGGGAGCAGTAGTACCGACAAAACACTGCACAGACTATATGCACACAAAAAGTCTTACAACAGTTAACAATTAATCTAAACCTTTCAGCACTGTAATAATTACCTCACGTGGAGGAGGTAAAGCAACTACCACAGTACCTACAAACCCAAAATACTTACCTAAACTATGCAAAAACTTTTACCCCGCTAAAACATATACCCGTTTAATTTTTGGTTGAAAGATTTTTAAACTTGACCAAATCCAGCCAACCAAACCCACCCCTCTGCTGCTCTTAGCAGAGAAAAACCCTTGTCTTTCACCCACAAATCAAGATTTTAGGACAACTAGGTCCTTGCTAAGCGGAATTCACGTTAGCTAACAGAGAGCGAAATTAGCCACACGAACGCACAAAAAGCGATCCTCTTAACGGTAGAGAGACCTGAAATGTGCCGGCATACTTTTTGCTAGTTCATGATAGCTCATTCCCCCCTCGTACTCGTTAGCTATCGCAGAATTCGCGTTAGAATCCACTGGCTCGCCAAACTGTCTTGGAAAATTCGCTTTTAACGAATTTCTCCTTACCGTGAGTACCGCAGTTGGATGCGCAGAAATCCCCATAAAGCTGTGCGAACTTCGCTTACCGTTACGACTGCAGCTAAACTCCACGATTCCTGCGCCTCCAACTGGTTTAGCTCTCTTGAGATGTGGGGAAAATGGAGCTCCCGTGACCCAGGAATAATCAGATGACACTCTCAGGTTGGAGGTTGGAATTCACTCTGAGACCGGCTCTAACCCCAGACTCTTTTTTATTACAACACACACACACCCCCCCCCCACACGGGGGGGGGTCAGGTCAATCCCCTCCCACAGAACAATGTATAGGGGGTGTCCATACACAGAATGTACATCCTGTTTGGAGTGTAGCCTTTCCTCTTATCTATACTGAAAACCAGTTAAACCAGTCCTCCCCTCCCCCATAAGCTCTCTGTGGAGAGCAAGCTTCCCATCCTTTACATGCTATCAGCTCCTAGTAGTATGTTCACTCTCTGTACAAGCATCCCCTAGATTAAACAGTGCCAGTCTGTATCTGAATGGGCCCGATACGATCTTTATTAAAACACATCCATCCAGATACAGTTCAGGTCTGTAGTAGTGCTTGTAATATATACATGAGCCTACACGCGGAGTTCGCACTGCCCGGCGCCTGGCCATACGAAGTCCATGTGGTACTATGCTGCTGATATGTGGATACAGGCCCGCGGCCTACCGCTGGCGGCATTCGCATCGAATGCTGTGGTGGCATACACGCCAGTCTATAAGCGCAGATCTGCCATCTCATCCATTACCGAGCTGAGTACTGTAATATTTACATTGTAAATGCGCATGGCCTAATTGCAGCCTTCAGAGCTTTAATTAAGCCACACGAGAGACATATGAATAACACTGATATATGACACATTTAAAGTTCAACCTGAACCAGAAGCTCACTCCTGCAATCAGCCATCACCTGAAGCTGATTGCAGGAAGTGTATTTAAGGAATGGCCAGACCTGCAGTCAGGGCCTTGGTGTATGTTTCCCATGAGCTCCTGTACCTGGTATCCTGTGTTCCTGCCTATCTGCCTAGTTGCTGACCCTGCTTTGATCCTGACCTCTGCTGACCATTTCCTGTTGAACCCCTGGCTTGCCTGACCATCCTTCTGCCTGATCCTCTGTACCGCGCTGCCCGTGAGTTACTGAACCCGGCTTGTGACCCTGACTATTCTCTGCCTGCTCCTCCGGTACCTCACTGCCCGCATGTTGCTGACCTGGCCTGCCTGACTACGCCTGACGCTACCCAGACGATCCATCCATCCCGCACGGATCCAGTCACTACTGTCCAAACCTGCCAGCCCCTTCACATCAAGCTTTCCCCCGGTACATACCCTCGGCGGACCCCTCTACCACAGTTGGGTGCACTCAGGGGCCGCAACCTGGTTTCAGTCCTGCGCCAAGTCCATCCCCACCATCAGGGGCTCTGGTGAAAAGGCAGACTGGGGCTTAGACTCCGTGCCCTGGGGAATCCTGTTCTGTGGGTCACTAGAGATCCCGCCGGGGTGGTGCCTGACAGTACCTTACGGCCCGCCTGACCATTCCACCTCTCCAGCCCTGACTACGCCTGTGTTCCCACACATTTCTGGTCATACCCGGATCCCTAACAGAACACCAAGGCCATTCCTGACCAGAAGTGGCTGCACAGGGAAGCCATCTTGGCTTGTTGTTTGTGAAGGATGCATCCTAAGGAGGTTGAGTACTTGTCTCTGCTGGTCTTGGAAGACAGAGTATACGGCTATCAGATTCTGAAGAAGTATGCCAGGATCAGCTGCTAGAGTGCATGCGGGTTGCTCATTCCCTAGTAGATCAGGGCAGGTTGTTTGTTGAGGTGCAGCCATTGATCCAGGTTTGTGCTGAATTGGCTTTGTCCAGTACTCCTGAAAGCAGGGATGACTTTTCTCCGCCATTCAGTGTGGATCAAGTAGATTCACTGGTATGGTTGTTGTAGGATGATCCAGATTGCTTCTTGGAGCATTATTCAGCGTGTTCACAACATGTGCTAGTGGAATGTATAAACGCAGTGCAGTCTTTGGTCAGACAGGCTATGTGTATGCTGAGCTTTGTTCAACCAGTATTACAGACATGGTCAGATTTGTTACACCCAGCCTCAGTCAGCTTGCAACAACCCAGTCCTGCTTCTAATTATTCCTCTGCTCAAAGCTCTCTTCCTCCATTTCCCACAGCACCCCCAGTTACAGCCCATTATACCCTGCTATCTACCACATGTCAGTACCCTGTTCCCACTCGCTGCACCTATCCTGCCTTTTACCCTGTAAAGAAGTCCTCTGTAGCAACTGCTCCCTCCTCTGTTCCACCCTCCAGCTCTTCTCTGTCCTCAGCTGCTCCATCTGTTTACAGACCTGCATTTACTTGCAGTGCCCCAGTAACTAAACCCAAGAAGAAGCGAAAATTCTTTCCAACCAATACCATCCTGCCAGTATCCAAACCGGTCAGCCTGCTGTCTGAGAACCCGCCTTCCGTTGTTCAGCCTGATGCCCTGATGCCTGATGACCTGATCCAGCCTGATGACTTGGTGCCCGCTGTCGAGCTAGATCACTCGGTGCCCGCTGTTGAGCTTGATGACCCGGTGCCCGCGGTTCTGCTAGATGGCTCGGTGCCCGCTGTCGTGCCAGATGGCTCGGTGCCCGCTGTCGTGCCAGATGACTCGGTGCCCGCTGTCCTGCCAGATGTCTCGTTGCCCGCTGTCGAGCTTGGTGACCCAGTGCCCGCGGTTCTGCTAGATGGCTCGGTGCCCGCTGTTCTGCCAGATGACTTGGTGCCCGCTGTTCTGCCAGATGACTCGGGGCCCGCTGTTCTGCCAGATGACTTGGTGCCTGCTGTTGCCAGAGCTTGGGGACCCAGTGCCCGATGACTTGGTGCCTGTGCCAGATGGTGACTCGTTGCCCGCTGTTGTGCCAGATGACTCGTTGCCCGCTGTTCTGCCAGATGACTCTGTGCCCGCTTACTTGCCAGATGACTCGGTGCCCGCTGTCGTGCCAGATGGCTCGGTGCCCGCTGTCGTGCCAGATGGCTCGGTGCCCGCTGTCGTGCCAGATGACTCGGTACCCACTGTCGTGCCAGATGACTCGGTGCCCGCTGTCGTGCCTCTGTCTGCTGCCCAGCCTGATGTGCCTCTGTCCGCTGCCCAGCCTGACGTGCCAGCCTCTGATGTCCAGCTAAACTGGCCAATAACTGGTTCCCAGCCTGCTCCTGGAGATCCTGTGTCCAGTAACCTGCCTTCCTGGGTTCTCCTACACACAGAGAAGTCTACCAGCAGGAAACCCAGCCAGCCGGTTGACTCCGGCAGTAGGACATTCAGCCAGTTACCTGACCCGGGCGGTGGAAGATTTTGCTCACTTAGGACTGTTTGGAGCGTCCTGAGGCCGCTCCTTGAGGGGGGGTACTGTCAGGAATGGATTCACCACTGGTGGTGGGACTCACCTGCCCTGTGGGCTGCAGTACCAGGGCTGGCCAGCGGGTGCTCTCAGCAGCCAGAAGCTCACTCCTGCAATCAGCCATCACCTGAAGCTGATTGCGGAAGTGTATTTAAGGAATGGCCAGACCTGCAGTCAGGGCCTTGGTGAATGTTTCCCATGAGCCCCTGTACCTGGTATCCTGTGTTCCTGCCTATCTGCCTAGTTGCTGACCCTGCTTTGATCCTGACCTCTGCTGACCGTCTCCTGTTGAACCCCTGGCTTGCCTGACCATCCTTCTGCCTGATCCTCTGTACCGCACTGCCCGTGAGTTACTGAACCCGCACGTTGCTGACCTGGCCTGCCTGACTACGCCTAACGCTACCCAGACGATCTATCCATCCCGCACGGATCCAGTCACTACTGTCCAAACCTGCCAGCCCCTTCACATCAGGCTTTCCCCCATTACATACCCTCGGCGGACCCCTCTACCACAGTTGTGTCAGGGCTCCGGGGTGTGACCAGAGGTATGTGACTGACGCAGGGAAACGCAGGCTTCAGATAAGTTATAAACAATATAATTTATTAAAGACTAACAATACAAACATAAACGCAGTGCAATTCTAAAACATAACACAGTGCAAACGAACCAAACCAAACCACCCACAGATAACAGTACATATAATGCAAGCGTCGTCAGGCAGGCCGGGTCAATAACAATCGGGCAGGTAGGTACAGGGGGTCAGGCAGAGAATGGTTGGGGGTCACAAGCCAGGGATAAAACAGGAGAAGTCAGCAGAGGTCCGGATCAGGCAGGGTCAGCAACGAATCACAGAGACAGGGACAGGGACAGGGATGTAGGAACAAGATACAGGGCCCAGGAAAAACACACACCAAGGCAGAGACTGCAGGTCTGGCCATCCCTTAAATACACCTGCATGATCAACTTCAGGTGTTTGGCTGGCTGCAGGGTTGAGTCTCTGATTGCCGGGAGCACCCGCTGGCCAGCCCTGGTACTGCAGCCCACAAGGCAGGTGGGTCCCACCATTACTGGCAAGTCCATTCCTGACAAGTTGGGTGCACTCAGGGGCCGCGACCTGGTCTCAGTCCTGCGCCAAGTCCATCTCCACCATCAGGGGCTCTGGTGAAAAGGCAGACTGGGGCTTAGACTCCGCGCCCTGGGGAATCCTGTTCTGTGGGTCACTAGAGATCCCGCCGGGTGGTGCCTGACAGTACCTTACGGCCCGCCTGACCATTCCACCTCTCCAGCCCTGACTACGCCTGTGTTCCCACACATTTCTGGTCATACCCGGATCCCTAACAGGTGGTGAGGGTAGTGCAGGAAGACCTAGACAGCTGGTGGTAGTAGATGATTCTATAATCAGAAGGACTGATAGAATAATTTGTCGCCAGGATTGCCTCAACTGAATGGTTTGCTGTCTCCCTGGTGCCAGGGTTCGGCATGTGGTGGACCGGATTGATAAAATACTGTGAGGGGCTGGGCATGACTCAGCTGTCTTAATTCATGTTGGAACCTATGACAGAATATATGGAAGGTGGAGGCTCCTTAAGAATCAATTTAAAGAAGTAGGCTGCAAGTTGAAGGGAAGGACCTCCAAGGTGATATTCTCTGAAATATTACCTGTGCCATGCGCAACTCAGGAAAGACGGGGAGATTAGAGAACTCAATGCATGGCTGAAGACCTGGTGTAAGAGGGAAGGATTTGGGTTTCTAGAGCACTGGGCTGACTTTTCATTGGGGTGCAACCTATATGCTAGAGATGGTTTGCACCTAAATTGAAGGGGGTCTGCGGTGCTAGGAGAGAGGTTTATGGGAAGGCTGGAGGAGTATTTAAACTAGGATTGAGGGTGGTGGGAGAATTAGATTATAATGGGGTACACAGATCAGACAGGGGTCAGTACTTACTGGTGGGTGGAATGGGGAAAGATAAAGGGAAGGCTATGGCAGATAAGAAGGTTCCCAAGTTACAAACAACCAGTGGAATTGGTACCATTTGTTTGAAAATAAACAATATGCTAAATACATGTGAACAAGGTGTCAATGAATTAAAGTGTTTGTTCACCAGTGCCAGAAGTCTGCCAAGCAAAATAGGTGAGTTGGAAGCTTTGGTGCATGAAGAAAACTATGATTTAATTGGTATTGCTGAATCTTGGCTTCATTCGTCACATTACTGGCCCATTAATATTCCTGGCTATGTTCTCTTTCGGAGAGACAGGGTAAATAGGAATAGTGGTGGTGTCTGTCTCTATGTGAGAAGTGATCTCAGAGCAAGTGTGAAAGAGGACCTAGTTGATGGAGAGTGTGATGAGGCTGAAGTATTATGGGTGGAACTGCACATGGGGGTGCGTACTACAAAGGTAATCATTGGTGTTTCTTATGGGCCTCCTAGTGTTAATGAGGAGGTGGAGACTCAGCTCCTTGTACAGATTAAAAGGGCTTCAAGGGCTGGGACAGTGATAATAATAGGGCATTTTAACTACTCAGAAATTGACTGGAGTAATGGTACTGCAGGTACAGTTAAAGGGCAAAAATTTTTAAACCTACTACAGGACAATTTTATGGTACAGTTCATAGAGGCCCCTACTAGAAATGATGCTCTGCTGGACCTGGTAATCTCAAACCATGCAGAGCTTATTACGAATGTCCATATAAAAGAACATCTGGGTAGCAGTGACCATAACATGATTTCATTTATTGTTAGCTGTAAACAGCGAGCACATACGGGAAAAATAAAAACGCACAACTTTAAGAGAGCTAATTTTCCAAGGCTGGCAGCTGCTTTCCAAGACTTAGACTGGGATGGAATATTGGCATCAATGAACACAACACAGAAATGGGAGTTCTTCAAAAAGACTGTATGTGAACACACTGCAAAATATATTCCCATGGGCAACAAGTTTAAAAGGCTAAAAATCAAACCTATGTGGCTTACGGCCAAAGTTAAAAAAGCTATAGATAATAAAAGAGCTTTTATTAAATATATAAATGAAGGAACGCTATCATCGTTGAAACATTGCAAAGAATATAACAGAATATGCAAAAAGGCCACAAAAATTGAAAACAAACGACAGATTGCAAAGGATAGCAGGACCAACCCCAATAAATTCTTCTAATATATTAATAGTAAAAAGGTCCTGTCTGAGTATGTAGGCCCTTTACAAAATAATCTAGAGTGGGTGACTGGGGACAAAAAGAAGGCAAATTTATTAAATACCTTCTTCAGCTCTGTGTATACAAAGGAGCATGGGGGAGCTCTTGTCCATAATGGGCAAGGTATTGACACAGCTCCAGATGATCCACATTGGCTCACAATTGATATGATCCAAAAATATTTAGAGAGAATAAAGGTGAATAAAGCACCTGGACCAGATGGCATACACCCATGTGTCCTTAAAGAATTGAGGTCTGTCATTTCAAAGCCATTGTTTACAATTTTTAGGGACTCTTTAATGACTGGCATAGTACCACTGGATTGGCGTAAGGCCAATGTGGTGCCAATATTTAAAAAGGGGTCAAAATCTTTACCAAGTAATTATATACCTGTTAGTTTAACTTCTACAGTATATTGTAGTTGGGAAGATACTGGAGAGTTTAATAAAAGACCGCATAGATGAGTTCTTGCTGGAAAAAAATATTTTACACAACAGACAGCATGGATTCATGAAAGACATAAGTTGTAAGACAAATCTGATTTCTTTTTATGAGGAGGTGAGCAAAACCTTGGACAGAGGGGAGGCGGTGGACATGGTATAAATGGATTTTGCAAAAGCGATTGACACAGAACCCCACACACGGCTAATGTGTAAGGTAAAGTCTACGGGCTTGGAAAAATCCATATGTAAATGGATAGAAAACTGGCTAAAACATTGTATTCAAAGAGTTGTGGTTAATGATTCATACTCTGAATGGTCTAGGGTTGTCAGTGGTGTACCCCAAGGTTCAGTGTTGGGACCCTTACTTTTTAATATATTTATAAACAAAATAGGGTCTGGGATTATAAATACCATTTCAGTCTTTGCAGATGACACCAAGCTGTGCAGTCGAATAACTTCCTTACAGGATGTCTTCAACTTACAAGCTGACCCAATGCACTGTTTAATTGGGCAACTATGTGGCAAATTAAGTTTAATGTTGATAAATGTAAGGTTATGCACTTGGGGGCTAAAAATATGCATGCACCATACATACTAGGGGGAGTACAACTGGGGGAATCAATGGTGGAGAAGGATCTAGGAGTTCTGGTAGATCACAAGCTTAATAATGACATGCAATGCCAAGCTGCGGTTTCTAAAGCAAGCAAAATCCTGTCTTGTATTAACCACTTGCCGACCGAAGATAGCCGAATGACGGTTTCTCCGCGGCCCGCCAGTTCTGAGAGGGTGTCATATGATGTCCTCTCAGAACGTGCACCCCCGGGGGCGCGCACCCGGCGATCTCTGTGATCGCTGTGTCCTATGGACACGGCTGATCGTGTGATGTGGTAAAAGGCCAATCATAGCAGCCTTTTACCACGTGATCAGCCATGTCCAATGACACAGCAGATCACTGATAAATGCAGTTGCCAGTTATCGGCTGCACTTTCCTCACGCTGTCACAGCTAAGCTAAGCTCTGATGAAAAGGGATGCCCTTCGAAACGCGTCAGATAT